ACTCAGAATCGAATTTTGCCTTTGTTAGATAGTTGTTAACTCGGACACACAGTAGCGTTAAAGCAAAATACTTTACCATGAAAATTCAGAAGTAAAGATAAACGCATTTCATGGACATTATTGGCCTCCAGATTTGAGTGTGCTTTTGTAACGTATAGCATTTGAGATCATACTAATAAAAAAATATGGTTAGCCTAAGGGATAGCACACTGGCAATTTGAGTTTGTTTTTGTTGCGATAGTTAAACGCGAAATTCCTAGTGGTATTCATCAAATTTTTGCTTATTAAATAATTAAATCTTGAAATTTCATCAATCTGAATGAATTACACTTTTATTTATTTTTTTCAATCTATCTAATCATCTTTACTTTGTTTAAATGAAAAAGTTGTTTAATAAAAAGGTTTTAAATAAACAATATTGATACATCTTTTTAAAATAATTATGATAAAGTTTGTAAGAAATCTCTGAATGCTATGCCCTAAAGAATTCAAACTCACGTGAATCATATATCATACCAATTAGATGTAATCTATACCAATTAGATGTAATCTCTACTCACTGGAAATTAATTGATTGTCTTAAACATCGAAAACTTCTATATTATATTTTACAGTTGGACGAACATTCATGGTCAATGTCAAGCTTCTTGAGATGACAATGCAAATTGTTCCTTTCTTAATCCTCTTTTGGGGTATGGCCCCGAATATGGATTGTTCTCAATTAAAAACGGAAAAAGAAGTGTCAATATGGAAACATTGCAAACAGAAGGTCGATCATGGATATAATACACTGAACTGTAGTCACCAAAATCTAACGTTCATACCTCGGATTACAGATAAAATAGATACTTTGGTTTTCAGTTTCAATCATTTAACCAATATCTCACAGGAAACCTTTGTCAACATCAGCTATCCGTTCCTGATTTATGCACTGTATATTGATAATAATAGCATACGGAACATTTCAAGTAACGCCCTAGACGTGTTTTCTAATTTGCATTTGTTATACTTGTCATACAATCCAATATACCACGACAATTTAAAACATTTGCTAGGTTCATTGTCTGAGAAAAAATACTTGAGCCATATAGAAATGACTGCAATACGCACAGTAATCCTCAACGAAGATTTGTTTTCATTGGTGAGAGAAAATCACATCAAAACACTGATGGCTTCAAATTATATTACTGACATTCTGGATATGAAAATATTCAAGAATTTCAACCGTCTAGAGGTTCTTGATATCTCATATAATCATATTTCAGAGGTTATATTATCTAAAAATAAATATCTACGTTCATTGTTCATTGGTAGAAATAATTTGAGAACACTCCCGGACTTCAGAATCAACGATAACACATCAAACTGTTTCTTTCCACAACTTGAGTTACTAAGTGTAAAAGATAATGACATACAAGAAATAAATTCTGAACATCTTAAATGTTTAATACATTTAAGACGCTTAAACCTCAATGGAAATATAATAACATTATTACCGAACAATTTCTTGTCAGCTTTGCTGAATGTCGAGTCAGTTGAAATAATGATTCCGGGAACGAGATCTTTGATAGTCGAACCATTTGCCTTTAACTCGTCCTCACTCTTGTCACTTACACTACAATATCGTTTCTCTGCTTTGTATGTTTTCAAGTCCTTGAATCAGACATTCAAGCAATAAGTGTACGTACCTAAATTGAATTATCTATATCATCAGTGAATTACCGATTGATATTACAAATAAAAGTAACAATGCTTTATTGTTTTTGTCAGCCTTTCTCCGCCATTACTGTTGGCATTATAAGACACTTTATTAGACATAGATTTCAACATTAATCTGCAACAAGAAAGGATAGTAAATAGGTTTTTCAACTTTTCCTCGCAATTACAATCAATGTACATTGATTGTTGCATCTGGAAAGAAAAGAAAGAGATTCATCGGATGTAAACGAGAAAGGTTGAACATCAGAGAGTTGATTTTATTGAGTCTGTTCTTGAGAGTGTAAATGTCACGGCCCATAGCAACGGTAAAAGTAGTTTGCAATCCTTAACTGTGAAAACATGTGAATTAACGATTCAGGTAAAATATAAGAAAACTGAGATGAAATAATATTGAGATGTAATTACATCAGGTAAAGTCGGTATGAAAAGAAAGATTACAATGACATACTCTGATCTTCTACCGGCCATTTTGTACAGTATACGGGTAAACAATGTATAGCAAGCTATAAATACAGCTAATGTGATTGTATTTTAATGAATTGGTATCAATGTAAAACCAACATGTACATCTTTCTACCCGTTAACTTTCATTTCCTAGTGTTTCTTTCGCAATTTTGAACAATATAATGATTAGATGCATCATATTTGAACACTCATATCTATTAGTTTCAAGTAAAATGTTCACGTCTGTAGTACAGTATGCAAAGATTTCAGCAAACAGCTATTCACTCATTTCATCACATTTTTCCACAACTAACTTGCTCACAGTATGTATAATTCAAATTTCATTCATATGGTATACTTCTGCCTTTATAGGTATTTTTTGTTTGTCATAACTTCTAGAAGGTGGCTTTTTTCAATGGATTGATTGTCTTTTTTTTCTTAATTCTTCAGGTTGATATTCTTTGGTTAAATAATCCAATTCCAGTGTTTCGTTATTTTTTGTTTTCATTGCTCCACTATCAATAACATTATCGGCTCAGGTGTGATACATTCTCAACTCAGTAACTCAGATTTATTTTTTAGTTTTCCGTCACTATAAATTCTGTCTTATAGTATTCGAATATTCTACTGCAACTTGGTTTGTTTACTTTTCTATTAGAAAATTCTTTAAGTTGATTAAAAATCATTCATTGGTCTGAATGTAAACGTGTAGGAATACAGCAGAGAATACAGTTTTCAATGAAAATGAAACGGAGCTTGCAAAACTTATTTCCCGTCTGTTTATTTTGGTGTTCTTTAGGGATTCCAGTTTTTCTTTTTTGATAAAGCAACTTGTAGTGACTTCAGCTCTTGTTTTTCGCTGCCTGATTTTTTCCGTCTGTATTGAAGAGCTAACAAAATTCTTTCATTAACCATTAACTCAAAAATATGGGACTATCAACAAGCAGGACACAAAACGGGACAGGGCTCACGTGCAAAAACAAAGCAAACAAAAACGGACGCGATGTCTACAGGGTAATTAAAGATGAACATTAATTAAAAGACCTACAAAAGAATAAGGGTGTAGGAGGCAAGAACGGGCTGGGGAGTGGAATTAAAGAAAAAAAACTAGTGGGATGGGAATACATTCATCGTAAACGAAATAACAAGAAGGGGCACAAAAAAGTGAAAATTTTGAAAAGTCGATTGATGAAATGTCTCAATGAGCGAAAAGTAAGGCTTTGGAAGCTCACTGTTTATGTCTATCATTTACTACTCAGCTACTCAGCTTTAGCTCTATCTAAGAAACCTAGACGGTAACTCAGACTTGTATTTTCCCCAAGAGGATCCATCTCTTTTTTGTGCGAAAATATTCTTACAATGACTGAATATTTTGTTTCATATTATATTTACAGAAGGAAATCAGTTAATTTATCAATGTGTCATTGGACTTACCTCATCCTCGGTAACCCAGGCTATTAACCGTATACATATATTAAATGTAGTATATACGGAATGTGTACCTAGGGTTCCGACGATGAGTCTACGTTTGCGAATTAGAAAACATAATGATCGACAAGACTTTGATTCTAAATATCGTAGTCATTTAACAAACACAGATTCAAACAACATATAAAACGAGTAAAATAACTGTATTTTGTAAACACACTCATGATAAAGTTATCAACGTAAATATATGAATTAAAGATGAAGTTAATATGATATATCAAAACAACATTTAACAAAAAGACGTTTCTATCTATGATTTCAAGGGCGGCATTTCTTACCTTTTCCAAAATAGTTGATTTTATAACAAAAAAGGAATACTCAAGCCAAAATACAGCTAGTTAACACTTATTGATAAAAAATATTACTCATAATTATCTGTAAATAAAATGGTTGTCGTTACTTTCAGCAGTAAATAATTTTAAATATCAATAATTATACAGTTTCAAAAAATCTCCCTAACAATAAGAATGAACTCTTAAAAAGTCGCGTAATTTGGAATATTTCTATCAATATTTCTATAATCATTTAGCACGAATGCTACATAACGTTTTTAGTAACATTTAACATTTAATATGAAGTGAGTGCATATAAATATCCAGTTCAACAATTTGAGCTTCTTCCTTTCAGAAACATATCACAAATCATAACCGATGATAGTTGTGACATAACTAGTCTTTTCTAAATGTTAGTTAAAATTCATAATATCTTTGAATTTAATTTAAATTGTGGTATCTTATTGATTTATAAGTAACCATTAATTGTTTCTTTATTGGGTATAGAAATTAAACTGATTTGTTCTTAAAGGAGTTTACTGAATATTTTTCAACAAGCTACAATGTAAGTTATAGAGGGTTTTGAAGGAGTGTAGGTTCAATACTGAATAAATTGTACGAGTTGAATAATATTAAATGTATCGAGCTCTGGCTTTGAGTTAACAACAAGTAAAACTGAAAGGTTACAATTTAAAAAATATTAATGCATGAAATGAAATGTATTACTCTTTACTTCCGTTGTTATGTACAAAGATTATAGACATAATTTATAAGTGACTAAGTTAAAATTTATTATCAATAATTTAATCTTTTGTTTTTATTTTAACCCAATTATTCCCAGGCCTGTATAGAAATAAATTTACAAAGCTGTTAACAACAGAAGCAGCAACTAAAACTACAATAGATTGTTTTCTTTCCTTGTAACATTAAAACGGAAGTTACTCAGTTTTATTATTTTATAAAATCAGTTTTAGTATATGTATCGGCAGTATATTGATGCAAACAAAGATGATTCTAAGTCTGACTTATCTCTAGGTTGACTAATAAGTGTTTGTCATTTAGTTTTGAATAATATGACCCCATACACACAAACTCTTAAGTTCTTTCTTTATGTAAACGCGTAATTATCGACACAAATAATTTAAGCTAAATTGCTGTGAATGTATGTGATGTTTGCCATTAACACAAAAGGGAAATAATATTATACATGACGTCATTGGTGTAAGTTAAAAATCTTTTTGTAATAAAGTATTTAAAGGCAAATTATGACTCAGAATCGATTTTGTTTGTGAGATATTTGTTTGAATAAGTAGGCGCTAAAATCTTAAATACTTTGTCATAAATGTAGAAGTTAATGTAAACAAAGGTATTTTGACTTCCACACAAAATAATAAATCACTATAAATGACCAATGAGTAACTTTTTGGAAACTATAAAAGTACACCAAAAATGAAAAGCTTTTTGAAAAGAAAGAAAACGCATTTCAGGGGCATAATGGGCCTTTAAGGAAGATTATAGTGTGCTATCGTATAGTATAGCACTTTTTTTGGAATTTAAGATCATACCAATAAAACAAATTATCGTTAGCCTAAGCTTACAATTTGCGTTTACTCTAGTGGTGATCGTTAAACGCTATGTCCCCTAAATTTACACGTTCTCGTAATTCCTAGTGGTATTCATCAAAATTTTACTTATTAAATAATAAAATCTTTAACTGTCATCAATCTAAAACTAATCAAAATATATAAAGAGCCGTGGCATTATATTTCCAAAATAGTGGTTTTACTTTTTTCAACGTTTCTCAAAATGCATTATTTCCAGAATCATTCAAGACAAATTTTATTATTTTTGGACAATGAAAACTTGATTAATAATGCCATTGAACATTATTGACGACGTCGTTTTATTTGGCGCTAGTGAAGACGTCATTCAAAAATGCTACCTCACACGGTTTAAGCTGAATGACATATAATCCTATATGCATAAATGTATCATATTACGTAAGATGCATGCAAAATTTAATACTAAAATGTTTGACAAGGTAGCTCACATTTCTATATAATGACGTCTCATGTATCATTTTAGTGATTAGCATGCCGTGCTCTGCCTTGCGCCCTGTCATGTTTTTGTTTGGTGTCCTCATGGGCTCCTTGCCGCTGGGTCGTGTGGAGGTTGTATTCATTGAACGACGCCTTTCCTTGTTGATCTTGTTTATCATATTCTATATTTTTCTGGTCCTTCGGGATCATTGATTCCAGCACTTTCAAGTGTCAAAAATTGTGTGCTAGGGGGTGTGAAGTTAAATTGTATGTAGCATTTTTTCATTATCCGTCATGTACGAGGAATGATCAAAAAGTTCTCGGCCCGATATATTTCTAGCTACTACACTGTGATTTACACACGCTACGCCAATACCGATATCTTATTCTAGACTACTGACCGAGTTACCCGTGGTAAAACACACTTTGATCAGAAGTGGGATGTGTCATTTAGAACAAATGGAGAAAGTTGAAATCAGAGCTGTCATTAAGTACCTATGTAAGAAAGGGATGTCCCCAAAGGAAATCCATGAAGACTTCATGGATACACTTGGGAAGAAACCCCCTTCCTATAGCACTGTTAAAAAAATGGACTGCTGAATTTAAAAGGGGCAGAGAAATCATTGGAGATGATGAGCGGCCTGGGCGGCCAAAATAGGCCACCAACGATGAACGATCTGGTCATGTGCGACAGAAGGCGAGACCTGCAAAGCATTGCTAGGAAAGTGAGTATAGGCTTTGGTTCAGTTTATGCAATTCTGACTGATGTTTATGGCATGTCAAAGGTTTCCGCTAGATGGATCCCAAGACAGTTGACTGACGACCAGAAACGGACCAGGCTTGACAAGATATCTTTTGTCTCGCTAAGAGGATGAACCTGATTTTATCTACCGGATCGTAACTTAGGATGAAACACGGGTCCATCACTTCGATCCAAAAGACAGAGCATGGGGTGGAAGCACCCTTGCTTACCCCCGACGAAGAAATTCAAGAGGGTGCCATCAGCAGGGAAGATGATGGCTTCAATAATTTTGGGATGGTCAGGGGATAATCATGATGACAATCTTGAACAAGGTCGTTCCATAAAAAGTACGTACTATGCAGACAATTTGAGACGTCTGCACCAAGAAATCGCGCATAAAAGGAGGGACAAACTGACTCAAGGCGATCTGCTCCTGCGCGACAATGCTCCAGCTCACACATCCCAAGTTGTGATGGCTACTGCAACTGACTGCGGCTTTCAAATTCTTCCCTATCCCCCATATTCTCTGGACTTGGTCCACTCTGACTTCTACCTGTTTCCGAAACTTAAAACCAAGCTTCGTGGTAGACGTTTTGGAATCAATGAAGGTGTCATAGGCGGTCAATGAGTTCTTTGAGGACCAAATAGAGAATTCTATTTTGAAGGGTTAAACAAGTCGGGGCACAGGTGGGCAAAGTGCATTGATGTAGAGGGCAATTATATTAAAAAGTAAGACCTTTAGTTGGGTTCTCTGACTACCGAAAGTACATCGGGCCAAGACGTTTTGATCTATCCTCGTACAGACACAATCAAACCAAGTTTGCAATTTTCTTGTAATTTTGTTGTGATTAATGCTTCCGAGAGATTACACTTTCTCCAGATTTTTATACTTCACAACAGCAAGTGTCACGTGCTCTGTGGCAGCTGTTAAATGTTACCCGTACTGCGCTTCAGTATTGTATATTTTTCTGGTCCTTTTAGTAAAACGCTATTTTTAGAAAATAGGTATAAGTTCTGATTAATTACAAAGCATTTGAACGAAAACCCGTGCATAATTATACTAAAATGCACGAAAAATCAATATCTATTTCCATTCTAACACGTCAAGAAAAAAAAGTTGGACTGTATGTTTGGTGGTTAAATTTGTTTTCGATTCAGAGTTTCAAAAGAAACGTTCTTTAAAGGCTTGTTTTACGCTAACAGAAATTTCAAATATTGCTGTGTTTCTCCATCAACTTACGAAGTTTTACATATATAATAATTATAATGTGTAAACCTACAAGTATAAATAATGTGTTTGGGATTTTAAAATGAATATTACTCGTGGATAATAAAGTAGGAAAGTGTTTTTCGTTTCGTGAGCTACAAAAGGGATAAATTATGTGAACAAAAATGACTTTTTATTCACTGATTTAATTGATATCAATATTGTGCAGTTAACTTTTAATTACCAGAATGATCAAGAAAGCATATTGAAAATGATTGCATTTAAATACATGAAATATAATAAAAAGAAAAGGCGGCGTTCAATGCACGCAACCCACGACCCAGCAACAAGAACCAGTGGCAAGGAGCCAAGGAGGACCCCAAACAAAAACAGGACAGGGCGCAAGGCATATAACATAGTAAGGGTTCACGGACAGTTAAACAAGCGTATGAAAACGTGAGAAAGTAGAGTCCTGTGGTCGCGATGCAAAACGTCTAGCAAAGATCACTAAAACCTTAAAGGGTGAATCATGTGAGGTTGTGTTACCGTCCGGCAAATTTGACAAAGCACTAGCACAGAGCTTTAGTGATTTTTTTGTAAACAACATTAAGACAATCAGATCCGACATAATATCTCAACATGAAGGAATCACAGAGTATGATTTTAACGATCTCGAGCAGTCTTTTGGTGAGAAGGAACTACTGCAGTTTTCTCCAATCATGGAAGACGATATCTCCAAGATCATCGCTCAATCATCTTGCAAAACATGCGGATTGGATCCAATTTGGTTGTTGAAAGAATGCCTACCAGAACTAATAAGTGTTATAACAAGAATCATTAACAAATCTATTGAGAAAGGATACGTGCCCATCTCTTTCAAAAGCTCGCGTGTAAGACCTTTGATAAAGAAACCTGAACTTGATCCGAATGATCTGAAAAATTACCGCCCAGTGTACAATTTACCTTTCATCTCAAAAGTCTTGGAAAAGGTTGTTGATACTCAAATTGAGAAACATCTTGAATTACACCAACTCCATGAAATTAACAAATCTGCTTACAGAAACATCATTCAACAGAAACAGCATTACTACGTGTGCAACAAGACATTCCTTTGATCGAAATGAAGCTACCGTTCTTGTAATGCTCGATTTGTCGGCAGCGTTCGATACTATCGACCATAACATCCTCCTCAATCGTCTTGAGTACGATTTTGGAATCGCAGGCAAACCATTAGAGTGGATGAGATCTTACTTGACAGACCGCTTCCAGACAGTGTGCATCAATGGTGAGCTCTCAGATCCTGTGAAAATGAAGTATAGTGTTCCACAAGGTTCTGTGCTGGGACCAAAGAATTATGTCATGTACACAAAACCTGTTGGTTCGATCTGTAGAAAACATCAACTACATAATCACTTTTATGCTGATAACGCACAGTTATAGATGGCATTCAAATTAAAAGATGACAGCTCCCAAATCAAAACATTTCAACAAATCGAAGCTTGTCTCAACGAAATTGTCAGTTGGATGAACACCAATTTGCTGAAAAAAAGAGTTAATTGTATTGTTCCTAAACGAAATTCAGCTTTGGCTGAAGATATTTCCTTAAAAGTTGGGGAATTAGTTATCAAGCCGTCTATGAAAGTTAGAAACCTAGGTGCTATGCTTGATACTCATCTAGAAATGAATACGCATGTGAACAGTGTTTCCCGAGCATGCTATATGCACATCCGACAGATTGGTCAAATAAGGCAGAACTACGTGACTGTAAAACTCTCTCGTCTTTTAAAAAAGCTTTAAAAACTCATCTTTTTACAATTACCTACTTTTAGTTATTTACACAAGTCTGTAAGTTTTACCGGTTTTATAAGACATTTTAAACGTTTTATGTGTGTAGAATCACACGGGTATATCTTTTTTTTTATTTACCTTAATTTTGTATCTTCTTTGATATTTTATGTTTTATCTAATAATACTTTTGTGATTGTTCTTTTATTTTTTGTACAGTGCCTTTGAACGTGCTCTGCATGAAAAGGTCGCTTTATAAATCTGGTTATTATTATTATTATTTTTATAAAGGGTATGACCGCCCATTTTTGGACCGACTTTGCTCCAATCTCCTTGCAATTCTAACATGCAGCTCATTCTACATGTGTTCTATTGGATTTAAGTCAGATGAGCGAGCTGGCCAGTCAATGCGCTCAATAGACGCCATTTCTAGGAAGTCCTGGACCAC